GTATTTGGAAGTACGATTAGATTACCTAATGAGTTTTTTATGCAGTCATCAGTGGCGACAGACCCTTGTTCCTTTGCTGAAACACTAAAGAAAACAATGGAAACCATACGCCCAGTGTCAACTTCAAACCACGGAAGTAAAAAAGTTTTTATATATAAAGATCTAGCATCCTGTTCACACGTTTTCGTTCGGGTCGACCGGGTCAAGAAACCGCTAGAACAACCATATGAAGGGCCGTACAAAATTGTTCAACGATACGAAAAAACCTTTAAATTATTAATTAGGCAAAAAGAATGTATCATATCAATAGACAGACTGAAGCCATGTTTCAACGAAAATGAAGATAATAACACAAATCTATCAATAACAACGAACCAGCACAACCAGAGAAATACAACTACAAGACCAACAATAATACAAACAAAACAAACCAAGTCAGGAAGAACCATCCGCCTCCCCGTAAGGTTTTTGTAAATTGTGAATTGTATCACTTTTATATTTGTATTTGTATTTTTATATTTGATATTTGTAACTATGTATGTTTAACGTAAAATTATCGTTTTCACTGGAAAGGGGGTAATGTAGGGATTAACAAAGATGTTAAATAACATGTCACAATGAATGCGTTTATATATGTTTATATGTTTTATCTTAGATGTACTGCAGTACGATAACACTCCGTGTATTTTTTTTATTCTCGCGCTGTTCGTCAATCCAGTGACACTTTTTATTTTGTACTCCTTTTTTTATGTATGTATAAAATCATTTTTCATTATTAAAAAGTATTAATTATTATAAATTTTAATTGTAGTATTTTGTAATAAATATAAACACCAAAACACTACAACTTTTTCGACTTTAAAAAAGTAAAAAAATTTTAATAATTATAATTTCATATGTCTTATGAACTTTATTCTATGTCAATGATATTATATAATATTCATGAAAGTCAGTTTATTCCCCTAACAAGATATTTTAAAATAAAATAAAATACAAAACCCAGAATTTTAATAAAAAAATAGCATATTTTTGAATACGGTAGCCTTTTGCGCATAGAAGATAGGTCGTCGGGACAAATTTTTTTTTTTATTTAGTAGTACATAAAATAAGCTTTAATTTGATTTATGTTTAAAGGACGCAGTATATCCGGAACATTTTCAAAAATTAAGTTGAAAAAGTTAGTTTTTGTACAAAAGTTGCTATTTGAAATCCCCCCTGTGAGCAGAATAAGTGTTAGATTTTCAAAAAAAAATGATATCAAATGAAAGAAAATTACCTAAGGTTTCAATATAAAGAAATATTATTTTGATTAGTTAATATTTGAAAAAGTTATGGCAGTTTTAAGTACAAAAAACATTCCGATAGAAGGTGATTTTTATCGTAAACATTACATTTTTTTTATAATTTCGACAGCCATTTGCACATAGAAGATAAGGTGTCGGGACAAATTTTTTTTTTTCATTTTATAGTACATAAAAAAAACTTTAATTTGATATATGTTTAAAGGACGCAGTATTTCCGGAACATTTTCAAAAGTTTAGTTGAAAAAGTTCTATTTTTTATACAATGTTTCAAAGTTTGAACCCCCCCTATATAAGGGGAAATTGTCTAATTTTAATAAAAAGTATGTCAAATGGAAGATGTACTTATAATGTATTTAGAAAAAAAAAAATTGTGCTGATACATGCATTTTTCGAAAAGTTATAGCATTTTTAAGTTGAAAATTAAAAATTGAAAATCGAAAATTTTAACACAAAAATAGTGTTTTTTTAACTACGGCAACTGTTTACATGCAGAAGATAAAGTGTCGGGACAAATTTTTTTTTTTCATTTTATAGTACATAAAATAAGCTTTAATTTGATATATGTTTAAAGGACGCAGTATTTCCGGAACATTTTCAAAAATTAAGTTGAAAAAGTTAGTTTTTGTAAAAAAGTTGCTATTTTAAATCCCCCCTGTGAGCAGAATAAGTGTTAGATTTTCAAAAAAAAATGATATCAAATGAAAGGAAATTACCTAAGGTTTTAATATAAATAAATATTATTTTGATTAGTTAATATTTGAAAAAGTTATGGCAGTTTTAAGTACAAAAAACATTCCGATAGAAGGTGATTTTTATCGTAAACATTACATTTTTTTTATAATTTCGACAGCCATTTGCACATAGAAGATAAGGTGTCGGGACAAATTTTTTTTTTTCATTTTATAGTACATAAAAAAAGCTTTAATTTGATATATGTTTAAAGGACGCAGTATTTCCGGAACATTTTCAAAAATTAAGTTGAAAAAGTTCTACTTTCTATATGCATTTTTTATATTTGAAGCCCCCCCATATATAGGGAAATAGTCTGATTAAAAATAAAAGTATATCAAATGAAAGAAAATTATATAAGGTTTTAGTTTAAAAAAAAATTATGTTGATTTGTTGATTTTTGAAAAAGTTATGGAAGTTTTAAGAAAAAAAAGTGAAAAAAATGACAAAATTTGTCGATTTTTAAATTTGTAATTTTTTTGGATATTTCCCCCATTTGCGGGGAACGAGGGAAAATTTTTAAATTTTTAAGGGTAATGTCTTCAACTAGATACAATTTGTGATCTTTTGACGTATTGTTAAAAGAAATCGGTCCAGTGAGAGCTGAGAAAAAGTAGTGACAGACACAAAAAAAAAAAAAATAAACACATCATGGTAAAATTAATACCTTCTCAGCTTCGCATCGAAGCTAAAATAAAACTAAATTATACCATGTGAATACTGAAGATACATACACATGGAAATTATAAAATTATACATAAAAGTACAGAAATTACAGTTCATGCGATTTGTGACGGTTGCAATATTGTCCAGCGGTGTTAAAGTTAACCCCACCCAACCAGGCCATTATGTTTTGTTATATATATATATAACGTTTGATGTGAGTAACTGTGAGAATTGGTTTCATTTTGGAAATGACCTGCCGTTATAATAAGCACATGTCAGTGGAAAATTGGAAATTTTACGATCAAATGAATCCACTATGTGTAAAACACAAAATAACAATTACTGCTACCATTTCTACCCAGTGACAAATTGTTATTGCTACTCAAGCAGTAACTGTTATAAATCACCGATATTGTTATTTTTTCCCATTACTAGTTATCACCACAATGACAAGTCCAGAGGTCAACATGTTATATATATAAAGTGTCAGTATTTCCGGAACATTTTTTAAAAATATATAACAAACCATAAGAAAATACTTAATTTAAAATGGATGAATTTTTTTTATTTATCAAATGACAATCTTCAGAAAAAAAATTTTAACAATGTCGAAAATTATCGATTTTTAAATTTTATTAGAAACTTTTATAGAAAAGTGTTAACAGATAAAAAAAAACACATCATAGTAAAATTAATACCTTTTTTGCTTAATATAGCAGAAGCTATGTGAAGCTATATTATAAGCTAAAATACATAAATCTATTCTGTTGCTGTTTTTATTAAATTTGTAATTTTAGGTATTATTTAAGGGTTTATTGTCTGAAGTATAAATATTATATATAATATAGCATTCATTGTGACTAATCTAATCATTTTGAATGTGACTAATGGCAGTAAAATAAAAACTAAATGAGTTATGTAATCAACCAGAAGAGTTAGAATAAAAAGCTTTTGTTAATAAATTAGCATAAAAAACGATGAAATTTGAGTTATTTATACAATTATATTACATGGCACATAAGCTATACACACTAACAATAATTATGTAAAACCTCATTAAATTACTAATGAAATAAATCAGTGTAATGATTTAAAAAAAAACAATTACAATTACTTAAGAAAATTATTGTTATTAAACTTTAAATTATAAAAATTAATAAAAAACAATGTAACAAACTTACAAATTAATAACAGGATATTGATAATCTTTTGAAGGTTAATTTTAACATATTTGATTATTTTACATTAATATTTCCCTGAAATAAAATAATATATAGAGGTAATACAGTATTTTTTAATAGTCATATATTTTGATTTAAACTAATCAAATAACTACTTTTAAAGTATATAATAATAAAAACTATTCTTAAAGTCACTGGATTAGGAGATACAAAAAACTTACTTTAAGCAATGAATATATTTATACAATTACAAAAAAAATGTAATATTTTGTAAATAAAATATACTAATATCAGTCTTGTTGGTCAAAGTTTATATAAATTTAAATTAATTATAGTACATTCATACCAACACTATAATTGTAATAAAATATTGAGCTTTTAAATAAAAATGCAATTTACAACTCACATTACACATAAGTATATAAAATATTAACATAAAAAAATTATGAATTTTTAACATACGCTCATAGAATATAAACTTGTCAATTAAAAATAATAAGAATAACAAAAGAGAAGAAAATAAAATGAATGATGTATTATTTTCTGTAAAATCACAGATTAGCTTATAGGGAAAAATATTAATAAAATTATTTTTCATCTCTGTAATTAGAGAGTCGTCTCGTTGATAGCAATGGTGACTGGGAGGGTGAACCATGACCTTCTTCTATTTCTTCATAAATCTTATCTCTGGCAAAATCTAATCTAATTTGAACTGGATTTGTAGTACTATCAGGATTATTTTCATTTTTAAATTTTGAATCTTCTATATTAATGTTTAAATTTTTTGAATCTAACTCATTTTCATTTAACACAGGATCATTTTGTCCAAATTTGATCACTATTTCAGCAGTTTTTATTTGTAATTTTAAAAATGATGGATCTGATTGACTATTTTGACAAACTGTAGACTGACTAGATTCAACTTCAGAATTTTCACCTAGATTTTTTCCTATTTGGATATGCCATGATGTACCAGAATCATTTGGAATAACTTTATCAACATCATCTGACTCGCGATTGTCAACTTCTTGAAATCTTATTGGATTGTCTTCATTGTTAAAAAATATATGAACGTTACGTACATTCTTAATATCAATACTTGTTTCATCATTTTGTTCAAGTGGAGTTTTAAATGGTGCAACTGCCATAGCAGCATTGGTCTCCATTGAGCTACTTTCAGCTATGTCAATCAGTACATTTTGATTCTTTTGTGGTTTTTCAGGAGCATTTTGAACATAAATTACTCTAAAATAAATTTAATATATCTTTTATTTTTCTTAAAAAAGCTATTATTATTTTAATTAATTACCTATTGTAAGCTTTCCATCTTTGACATAACATAAAATATGATTTACATTGAATATACATGAAAACTACTCCACCGGTAAAACCAATACCAACAACAATAAGCTTTGTCCAAAAAGGCCATTCTAATAGACCGCGTTCAACTTCCTCTAAAGTACGGTCCATAAGTACATATAATGACCAACATACACAGGTCATTGCAATAATATGAAATAACATTGCACAGACAAGTTTTTTACGTTCCATACCAGACATTTCTAAATGTTCCCACTGTAAATCATATTTTTTAATGTCACCAAATTAAAAAATTATTGAATTAACAAGAAATACCTGACTAAATGGTTTAGTTTTAGTTTGCATGATAAATTGAAATTTACATAGTTCACAGCATCGAATATTAGAAGATTTAATCCACTGCTGTAGGCAAACTTGATGAACATATCTTAATGAGCCAGCACAATAACATGGAGCTATTAAAGGCATATCAATATCACCTTCACAATGGCATATTCTACAAACAATTCCAAATAATTCTTAAGTAATATTATAAAAAATGTTATATTAACTAAACATTTTTAAATTAAAAATAATGATATAAAAATTGTTATAATAATTTAAATTCACAAATTTGTTCACATTATGCCATGTATTATTTTATGATATTTATAATATTTATTTTCTAATTTGATAATTTAACAATATACAATTTTTAGGACACTTGTACTGACTGATTCATCAAATGAGTATAATAAATTCTATAAGTTTCTAATTCAATATTTTATTGATATCAAAAGAAAGTTTTTTATTAGTAGTTAATATTTACCTGCAAATATCAAAATTCATAGAAGAAAAACTAGTATTTCTTGAAAATCCTTCATCATTCTTCATTTTCTAAATACATGACAAATAATCAAATATAAAATTCATAATATTTAATTAATTAACATGACCTTAAAATTAAAAATGTTCAAGGTTTGTTGGTTGAGTTACTTTTTTTTTTATACTTGCAGCCCTTTAAGGGCTGCATTGTTACCTTTTTTAAAGAGAAGATTAGTTATAATTTTAATTTTTCAATTATTTTAATAGTTAAAAAAATTATATAAAATATACCTAAAATGTAGCCCAACAATGAAAACATAATTTAAATAAATAAAGTTTAGCGAAAGTTAAAAAAAATATGAAACATTTCTTACTGGGTGTTGTGCTACTAATTGGCTATTAGTCAGTTCTGATTTAATAGACAATTTTTCTTGCATTCTAACTTGTTAGTAGTTTTGTTTTCACTGGAGACAAATTAAGTTTACTGTTAACATTATGTATCACATTAAATAAATATTCATTAGCAAAATTATTTATGTTCTTAACACAATTATAAATAGAAAAAAGATTTTTTTTTTAAGTGTACATCCTTAAACAAAAATTGGAACGACTACAATTTATAAAAAAAAGTTTTATCAATTAGTTTCATGCAATTTTTCAAAGGAGTATATATTAAAATACTATAGTTTAACAATTTAATAAAAACTATAGAGGTACATAATTTCTACCTAAATAACTGACTATTAGACTTGAGCATAAAAAAACTATAATATAATTTATATAATTAATTGCTTACAAAAAGTTATATGTTGACACTTGGCACAAAGAACATTGTTCATAGGGTTTTAACAATTTAAGTACAGCACTCTGCAGTGTTTTATAAAGTAGGTTTGATAAAAATTTAATAATTATTATTAATATACGGAGCGCTACCGTCACATAGGACAATACCCATTGCGCAACAAAGAGGTGAAATCGACATTTGATTGATAATTCTATGTTTTTACCAAAGAGATCGTTGCCCAGTCAGATGACGTCAACTTTACACAAGGTAATAAATTCCTTTTTTTTGTCCGCTAGACTTAATTTCACCATACATTTGAGCGCTAGTGACATATTCATCAGCTGATTTTTTTATTTATTTTGACAGTCTAAAAAATATATGATAACAGCTGCATTTTTATAAATTATTTGTAGTGTGTAAAATATAATTGGAAAAACACATTTGACACGAACTGATAATGCTCCACATTTACATACTTCGCAAATTCAACAAAATTATAGTTGTTCCGAACATATGTTACTCCGATTATCTAATACCATAGATTACCATAACCACGACGAATTTTACTCCGATATAAAATAAATATAGTTTAAAAAAACTAAAAAAACACGCTTTTAAAGCACATTGAACTAAAAAGTTAAAAATAATTTTTAAAATAAGCTTAAAACAATAATGAACGAAAAATACTAGTATTATTGTAATAAAAGCGTGGGTGCTTTGTGCCATATTTTTCGTATATTGAGCGCCCGACGCTTTTATTACAATAATACTAGTATTTTTCGTTCATTATTGTTTTAAGCTTATTTTAAAAATTATTTTTAACTTTTTAGTTCGATGTGCTTTAAAAGCGTGTTTTTTTAGTTTTTTTAAACTATATTTATTTTTTACTTTTTAGTTTCAAGTTATGATAGTAGTTATGGTTGTAACGGGTAACGAGAAATGAGGGTTCGATTCCGGAGAGGGAGTCTGAGAAACGGCTACCACATCCAAGGAAAGCAGCAGGCGCGTAAATTACCCACTCCCGGAACATGGAGGTAGTGACGAAAAATGACGATACGGGAATCATCCCTCGTAATCGGAATGAATACTTTATGTCTCTTAATTAGAATAAATCGTGTTAATATATAAATTTTAATAGTAATTAGAATATACAGAGTGTTCAGTAAGTCAGGAAACGGTTATAAACAATGAGAACAATAGAAACCCGTTTCCTGACTTACTGAACACTCTGTATATATATATACAAGTAAAGCGACTTAAGTACGTAAACGTATCATGCACTAGGTATAACCGTATTTTGTGGGCGGGCGGGTCGGACTAACGTTATACCTGAGGTATAAACGGTGGTAGGAATATATAAATATATATACGTAAGGCGCATTAGACGCGGGCGGTATTGGTCAGTCAAAATAAAAATTTGTTTATATATATATAATATTGATGACAAGCACGCGTGTACGGGTACGATAACTAAAAATAAATTTTTATAGGAATAGTGTGCCGTCGTGTTGAGAGCGAGGCGTGGGGAGGGGTGAATACGTTATGACAGTCTAGTCTAGACGACGGAATATGCGATAACGCGTGGCGTTTGGAGAGTTACAAACATACATACATACATACATACATGCATACATACATACATACATACAGGTGAAACTAATATAAGCGTGTTAAAAATAAAACGTTGTAAAAACTTAGACATGGATAATCAACACATTTTTTTTATTTATACACATACTTTTGTCTAAATATTTACTATTTATATTGTAAGATATCATAATGTCCAAAGTAGGTATTATGATAAAAGGAATCTCAAAAAGGTACATTGATATAATAAAGGATATGTATGATATCATTTGTATCAGGGTAAAAGGTATGGGAGGAGTAATAGAAGATTTTAGGGTAAGAGTAGGAATGCACCAAGGTTCTACTTTAATTTAATGCGGGCCCCCATTAAATCATCGTTGCGAGAAGATTATTATTTTGCCATTATTTTCATGTAGTTAGCTTAACTTGTATCCTGCAAATACAAATGTATTACTCTATAATTTCGAAATGAACATTTTTAAAAATACTGTTGTTGTACACATATTATTAAAAAAAAATTAATTTTCAAAATAAAATCACGCATGTTATATTTTTTCATTTTATTTATTGTATGAACAGCGTCTATACCTATGAACTGGACAGGAATCATACACATTTTCCATGTATCAGCAGCAATTTACAATTTATTACGTGTAATTAATATAGTAATTTCCTTACATTAGGTCACTATTACGCCCTATTTAAATACTCAGATCGTTTTTCAAATAAATATAAACACACTTGTAATTTATAAAATAAAAATTGATATTGTCACGGATTTGTTCGTTAAAAAGTTTTAGTTATAAAATATATTTATGCAAAAGGATAAATGTTTTAATTTATTATATATAATAATTAATGTTTTGTAAAAATGTAATGTCAGATTTTTTTTTTATACATATGTATATTTTATAAAGAAAGTTGTACTGTTTCAATATTACATTATAATACTTGATTTCTATTTTAGGAGAAAAAATTAATACTTGTTTGATTACCAATTATGATTATTAATTAAAATATTAAACTCTACATACAACTGTTAAAATTCATGTAATCTTTATACAAATGAAAAAAATATCCAATCATTTTTTACTGGATCGACTGTATATTTTTAACTCAAGTTAATTAAGTTTAAATCTAATTACTATAACAGAAGAATTAAAGTTCGTTCTTCTCTCCCTTCCAAAAATTAACTTTTTAAGGACTTACACCAATTATATAACTGGGATTGTTTTAGTTTCAAGTTATTTTCCTTGACTTAAAATACCTATTGTTTCGAAAGTCGGATACACTTTGAGGGTATCCTTTGTTGTAATAATTATTTGTTAACAGACAATAAACTATTTTTTATAAGACTATTTTGAGTTAATTTTTTATATGGCTAGAATCATCTACTAAGAAATTTGATAATTTTATTAATCAATTTAGCGAATTATAGATATTCGGAACAATCCATTAAATGTTCTATTTGTAGTAATTATCGTTGTAGTAAACTCCAAATTGTTGCAGTCATTGTCGACGGATTAAATTTATTCGGAGGATTTTTTTTTACAATTTCGGAGTATATGAATGTCAGAATATTATCAGTTCGTGGCAATCCTCGTAACCCGAATAATCTATGAATATGTATTAACTTATGATTACAATAAACTAGAAAAGCGGCATCTGTCCAATGCTTCTCTGTGTATTTCATAGATCTTATAAACATGGATAGGACATTGATGCTTTATCAGTGAAGACTGTGGTGATAGTAAATTGAGTTTATAAGATCTATGGTGTATTTAAATAAAAGTGATAACGAATCGTACCGAATTATTTTACAAAATTGAAATCTCTTATTCAGTTACACATATAACATTTTCTTAAATAAAAATGAGAAACTAAATCAAGTAAAATATTTGATAGTTACGTTTTCTCATATTTTTATTTTCTTAATCTTATTTATTAATTGTGAAATAAAGTTTATTTATTTAATAGGAAATAATTCCAATAATGAGTGTTAAAATTGTGCAGTATTTTGAATATACAACTAAATTTAATTCAGCAGTTCTTGTTGATAATTCATTTGTGTTTTCTACTAATGATGGATTTTTGATTACAGTTAGTTATAAAATTACTTATATAAGCTTGTAATTTAATTATATATACATAATTAAAATATTTTCTTCAGTAATAATTTGAAAAGATATTTGTTTACATATTTTAAATTTAATTTTTTTTGTGTAAACATGAAATCTCAACATCTTATATTTTTATCTATGGTATTATAAATTGGTAGTGATGATATTTTTATGTTGACATTAGGATAATATGTTTTTTAAAGACTAAAAATTCTATTGCACAAGTTTTATATTTTTAGAAATTATGAAAAAATATAAAATTAAAGAAGAAAAATTAATATAAGTTGTTAATTAAGAAATTTTAAGTAGTTAACATTTGTATACCATAAATATATACAATGTATACCATGTCATGTTAATGACAAATATTTCAAGAGTTAGTTTTATAAAAATCATTATTTAATAGTGAATTATTTTTTATTGTGCAAAATTTGAATTGTTTTATGAAATTAATTGCTTGTAAAAATTAATTAATTAATTTAATCTATTAACAATAATTATTATTTATTGATTACTACGATATTTTTGTATTAAAAAGAATTGGATTCACCATGTCAAATTAAATATTTTATGATTACAATATTACTTTTACAGGAAATTCAGTCTGATATTTTTAGACCAACAGCTGATTATAAAGTATTACGTACCATGTTAGCATACTCAAAAGCTAAGCCATTTGAAGATAAAAATTATAACTTTGTTCGTTTCCAAAGACCAGTTTCTTGTAGTGAAAAAAACATTATGGCTTTTAAAAATTATCATAAGTAAAATAAAACAATAAATATTTTTATTAATATTTTTTACAGTTTAATAAATAATAAATTGATGCCCAATTTTAATAGATGGTTATCATTTTAAATTTTTTGTCTTAATTCCCAACCGTGTTATATACCTTTTGTATGTATTAAAAGCTTGTAACTTAATGAATGTAATAATTGTAAAAAAAAATAGCTATCTTGAAAAAATAAATAAATTTTTATTTGTGATAAATAATAAAAAAAATAATTTAGAATCTAGTGTAAGAAAGTAATAAATATTAAAAAAAAAAAACATAAAATGATAATTGAATCAAAAGTTATTGGATTTGTCATATTTTTTTGTCTTACACGGTATTTTTAATTTTTAGATTGTATACGAGTTATTAAATTATTATAAGACTTAAGGTTTTAGATTTTCCTATAAAAAAAACAATTGCAGAGATATTTTTATTATTGTTTTACTATTTTTGAAAATTCTAGTTCATAAATTATTCATTGAAATTATAGTTTAACGATATACTTTAATTTATAATAGATATTAACGAAAAAATATAAATTTCTAATTATACTATATTTTGTCTTTTATATTTTTTTATCAACAAATATTATTGACATTATGTAGTTTAATTTTATTATTATCCCCATAATTATTTAATAAAAAAAAAAAACAAATTTTTAGGTCTTTTTGATTAATTAAAGTTTTTTCTTATTTTAGATGGAGTATTATTTATATGACTAATAATAGCAATATTGTTTTTTTGGAAAAGTGTAATGGCAAATGGTTAGAAAAATTAAGTGACATTCCACAAAAATGGTTTTTATTAAAAATAAAAGATTTAGATAACAAATTAAATCTAGAAAACATGAATCCTAGAAATGAAAATACTATATTGATTTATAGTCGTGATCGAGAAAAAGAAATATTGATTAAAAGTAAAAAATTCTCATTTCTTATTTTGATATAATATTGTAGAGTATTTAAATAGTTGCTTAACACTAAACTTGATATAGAAAAAGTTTTTCATAATTTAAAAAGTAATAATTAATAATTATAGTTACTTTTTAATTAAAATACATGTGAATTAAATTTTATCATTTTTATTTGTAGATTTTGTTTGTACTCATCTACTTAAAATTGATAATGGAGACTTACACTATGGGACGATATGTTGTCATTTAAATAATTCACTTACATTCTGGTCAAGTATTAATGAACATTCAACATTTCTTAAAGAGTTTAAATATTGTTATTCATGTACAACTGTTAAATATGTTGAATGGTTTCAAGTTTCAAATTCACTGTGTAGGTAAAATAACAATTTATAAGGATGTTTATTTTTTAAATTTATTATCATTGTTATACACAACTGTATTGTAAGCCTAATGTATCAATTTGTGACCCAATAATATTGGGTCCTTTAAATACTAAAACTAAACTTTAGGAAAAATAAAAAGTTCATCTGTCAATAAAATTGAATATTTCCAAATTTTATTTTCGAGGAGCCCCTCTTTTTCGAATTAATTTAGTATAGTGTCCTTAATATTAATCCATAAAATTTATTAAATAATTTGTTCTTATGAAAAGAAGTCATGGTATCTTTTTTTCTTCTAGACATTACCCCAACTACCTGGGGTCGGCTACTCTTATCCTAAACTTCCACTTAACACCATCTCTCACATCAGCTGTCATCATATTACATTCAATAACATCCCTCCTTCTCATTTTTAGTCTTCCTATAGCTCTTCTTTTTTTGATATTCATTTCCATAACTGTTTTTACAGATTTCAATTCCTCTCTCCTCATAACATCTAAGTCTATTTCCTCTCATCTTATTCACAATTGATGCTACACCTATACTCACTTTATATGTTCGTTCCTTAGCCTATCTTCTCTAGTCACTCCACTAATTCATCTAAGAATTTATATTTCTGCTATACTCATTCTATTCTCTATTCTTTTGTCAACGCACAACACTATGAACCATACATCATAGCTGATCTTACTGCAGTCTTATAGAACTTACATTTCAGCCTCATTGTAAATCTCTTATTGCATAACACACCAGATGCTTCTCTCTACTTTATCCACCCACACTTAATCCTTTGTTTGACATCCTCGTCAATATCACCATTCTTTTGCACAACTGATCCTAAATACTTACTAACTTTCTACCTCTTCCATCACGTCCTCACTCATTGTCACTGATCTTCTTATTTCATCTACCTTGTATTCTCCTTTGTTAAACTTGTACTATATATATATGTCTTACTCCTACTAATTCTTGAACCCATTTCTTCAAGAGCTGATTTCCACACTTTTAGCTTTTAATTTCCTCCCTATTTTCTCCTATTAATACTATATCGTCAGTAAACAATATGCACCACGGCATTTCTTGTATTTCTCTAGTAATTTCATCCATCACTATAGAAAATAAATAAAAGCTTTAAGTGGAACTTTGGTTCATTCCTAATCTTACCTTAAAATCTTCCATTACTCCACCTACACTTTTTCTTTTCTCATTTATGTCCACTTTAAAACATCTCTTTGTATTCTATCATACACTTTCTCCAAATCTATAAATACCATACACAGCTTTTTCTTTTTTTCCTATATTTTTCTTTTAGTTGTCTCATACAAATGTTTTTCCTCTTATTCTGTTATCTATTACCTTTTTCTAAATATTTATACTATGACTTCATAAGCTTTATGCCTCTATAATTTCCAAACTCCTGTATGTCTCTTTTGCCTTTAAATATTTGATTCATGGCTTTATTAATATTTGATTCATATTTGATCATGGCCAACAAGCCATGATAATATGTGATAACATCATTTTTTTTCAAGGATGAAAAATATTATAATTATTACAATTTAAACAAAATTTTTATCAAAATATAATTAAATAATGAAAAATATGTGATATCTATAAACATAATATTATTATTAATGTAAAAAAATACTTCATTACCATTTCCGTAAACATATAAATGTTATTCCTTTAATTGTTGAATAAAGTTAAAAAAAAAAAAAAAAACTAATTTGATTACTGATTTTTTAAATAATTTGATCAGATAATAATACAAATATTTAAAATCATTACTTTTTTATTTTTTCCAGCTTGGTTGATGGTATTTTTAAATAATGGCCAAATTTATGTTCATGAATTTGTTGATTATCCTAATGTTGAAAATACTTTTATATTATGGTCAAATGAAGATCATGGTAATGTTAAAAATATTTGGATTGAATGTTACCCAAATAACCTTTGTTTAATAGTTATAACAAAAATGGCATTTATTATATTTGTTTTGTATTCATTGACAAAAAAAGAAATAATAAAAATTAAAAAAGAAACTATTAAAAAAACATTAGTTATACCAGGTAATACTATTTTATTATTGCTTAATTTTTTAATTAAAATGTTATTACATTTTTATATTTAATCATTATCTCCATTTATTAGCCTCTATTTCAGCTATTTGAGGTAAGCTCTACCATCGACGGTGGGATTGAATAATACACTGAGCTACATCATACCCTCTTTCAAATTTTTATATTTAATATAATATACAATACAGCAATTACACTCTTTAAACTAAAAATTTAAATAATATCAATTTATTTTTTAATATCTGTTATATTTAATACTTTATTAACTCAAATTCTAATTAACATAAAAAAGTCAAATGTTACTATAATGTTTAAATGTTTTAAACTTAATCTATTTTGTCTAGCCGCAAGAATTAGAGTGTTTATTCCATTATTACTTTTGTTGAATGCTATTTTTAAAGTTTATATAGATTTATTTTAATGTAAATTATTTAAGCCTAGTTGAACTATAAGTGGAGATTAAACATAAAATGTTTTTACTTTCCTCTCCAAAATACTTTTTCCTTTTCTAGTTATCACAATAAAATATTTTAACTACTCTTTGGCATGTTCTTAAAAATAAATTAAAAAAAAGTATGAAAGATTTGATAGAAACATTTCTATTTGGATTCAAATAAAAAAATTATGCAACTGTTTGATATTATATTGACTATTTAAAAATGTATGATCTGTATATTCAGAGTTAAAATAGTAATTTGTAAATAATCAAGTAGTAGCATTATTATTTTATAACAGTTGTAAGTATAAAAATCACTGTTTTTACATACTAAATTAGTGACAAGTTTACGATGAAAATTCCAGAAGGTCTGAACCCCAAATACTAATTTTTTTTACATTGTATAGTATATAAGATAGTTAAGACTTATATTCACAATATGACAACTATTCCAAGTACATTTTATTATTCATGACTCTCCCCCTCTAAGAAAAATGTTAAAAATCTGTCATTGTACTAAAATTTTTTAAATAACTAGTTTTTATAATGAAAAATAATTTTCTTTGTTTCAAAATAAATTGTATTATAGGTTTTACTGTTTTAAATGAAAAAAATTTAATAATTTTGGTGACTGATGCTGGAAAATTTATTAGTATACAGTTAACAATATCAGACACTGATTTTTCTTATGTACTACTACCAATAACAAATGACTTTAATGATCAAGTACAAAACTTTACCTGTACATCAGCTGTATTCTCTCAAAATAAATGCACTTGTGTTCTCTCTTTTGAGTAATTATTAAATAATTAGTCTTTTATCTCAATTGAAAACAATTTTTACAGTAATGGTAATTATTTTTCTTTTTGTTACTTACTGTAGGTATAACATAGCTAGATACAGTAAAAAAGATATTCTTAAGAAAAATAAATTGTTATTTTGTGTAATTCCTGAAAGTTTAATTGAACTTGAACAAAAAATTTTATCTGTTGAAAATGATTCATACAGTAGTGTGATTGATTGCATAGAAACTTTAAGGTTTGTAAGATTTAAAAAAATAGTTTTTATAATTATCAACATTTTTAATTTTTGAATATATTGTATTAAAAATATCAATTCTTATTTATAACTTGATATTGTTAATTAGGGTTAACAGAATGAATGATATTTTTGGAGAACAATTATATTTAGATCGCAAGTTCCTTGATACTTGTTCAACGAATGATTTAAAACTTATATACTGGAAAACAGCATTTAAAAACGAAAAAAAAGAAAATGAAGAAAGTCTTCTATCTGAGTTACAAACTCTAGTTCATACCCGTTTTTTAATTGAACGCTTTGCTGTTAATAACAATTTTGCTACTAATACAGAAAAATATTACAGCCGTGTAATGCTCACAGAATATTTCAAAAAAATTCCAAAAGATTATGTAAATGTGAGAAAGGATGCAACTAACTTAATAAGTTTGCTAAAAGAAATCAAACATACACATTCTTGTAGTACTTGTCATCGAATTTTAACATCTTTCACAGATTTTCGTATGTTTATATGTGAACAAAATCATAAAGAACTCAGGTGCCCAGTAACATTAGGACCTCTTGGTGTACCATATCTAGTCTGTTCAATGTGTTCTACAATGGCTAATAAAAAATTAAGTAAGTTTGTATTTCATTTTATGTAGTGTATGTATAGTAACAGTGTTCTAGCAAAAAGAAATTAAATAGGATTACATAAAAGGAAGCTTTTTTTTGTTTTAAGATACAAATTATATTTTTTTATTTACTTATAATATAACTTTTTTAGGTAATGAAAAATGTGTTTGGTGTTTTGGAAAATACACTCAGAATGAATTGCAGTTTTATACATAAACTACATATATTCAAAAATTATGTAATTATAGCTTTTAAAAATTGTAACTATTTATAATTTTGTATATACTTATTTGTTTTATATGTATAGAGTGAAATAAGATAAATATAAACAAATTGAGTTAAAATCATAAATTCATTATTACTCAAGGCATACTTCCAGAACAAATTTTTTTGATGGGGAACTATTAAAAAAAAAAAAAAAGAGATTCATAAAAAATAATAATTCTTATTTTGGGAGGGGCCATTGTTGTTATATCCACATCTCTTCCTTGTGTCCACATATGTATTACTATAAGAATGTTTAGTAGGTATAGCTTTAGATTAAATATTCTATTTCTTTAGTATATACTTTTTTTGTTTATCAATAATAAAAACGTTGGCACTTCTGTTTTAATATATACATTTATCCTACTTCATCTTAATATTTTTTATTTAAAATAATACTAATTAAAAAAAACTGATTTTAAATTTTAAGAAGTTTTATTTATGTATAGTAATTACTATTTTTAGAGCTTATAGTTGCAGACTTAATTATATTTAGTTGTAAAATATACTACATGGATTGATTAATATTTTTAGTTCCTAATTTGGGTGCTGTAACTTTTGTTACCTCCATTTGAGTGTTCATCATAGGTGTATCTATGGATAGTTCTATAATGACTGGGCATTAACTGTGAAATTAGCAAAATTATTTAAAATTAAGTCGAAATCGAGGGAAAGTAGTTGGAGGGAGTAAATGTATTTTTATATCTTAAAAAATATTTCACATATGGATGGGAAGATTAAAAGCTTAAGTCCTTTCCTTTTATTAAATAACTTCGGCACGACCGTAAAAAAGGGTTTGTACACACCTATGGTGTTCATACTAATTAATTGAAAAACGGGCCGACTTGGTATTAAGGACAGGGGACTATATAATAATGGGAAATAATGTTTCTGACCAAATATTTCCGGACCGACGGAAAGTATAATACCGGACCATATAACAATAGAAAGAAAAACTGCAGACCCTTAATTAAGAGAACGTTAAATTGCAGAGTGTGAATAGTCAGATTGTAGAATCTTGACTGTATTTTTATGGAAAAATATCATTGATTCCAAAAATATGACTAATCGAATCGTTGTTTATCCAACATTCAAGATCTCACAGCATTTATTATTTATTATAGTTTCCTGTGATTACTGTGATTTATTATCACTACAATATATTCTATATTACAATAAATAACTGTTATAATAATATAATATATTTTATATTCTATTCACTATCATTAAAATATAAACGGAGTGATTGTTTCATCAAACAGTATATAAAATTCTTCGTGAATAATAGAACATTTTATATGTAAAATAATTTTTTTTTACAAATAGGGGTTAAGTATACATATTAGTAATTACTAGCATTCATTATCAGTTTAGTATGCCAATTCTGAAGTTCAGAACATATAAGCTAACAAAATAAATATTATTTTTAAATAAAGTTAGTCCAATAAAAATGAAAAATAAATTATCTTTTTAAGTTAATAGTATATTTTTAAAATCATAAAATTTTAAATAGGGTTCACCACCTCTCTTTAGTTACGCCACTTTTAAAATTCAAAATTTACGATTTTTATCATTGAGTTATAATTTATTCAGTAATAATATTATCCGTTTGGAAATGCCTAAATGGCTCTTTTCGGCAAACTTAAATTTTAACAATTATTCAGAAAGGCAAAAATAAATAAATAAATTTTAAGAATGATTGTTGCTAATCGATATTTTAATAGAGCAGAAAACTAACATGCGTGGTAAAATTAATTTATAATTTTTTGTTACATGATAGTCAACAACCAATTACTAGACATATCACAATAAGACTTATCAAAAAGATTCCCAACTGCATGTTTGTGATTAAATTATCTTTTGACAAAATCTATCGAATTTATTATACAGGTGATTCATAAATTTTTTTGTGCTGTATACTGACGACAGTTTAATCCCAGTATATTATAATAAAAGTGATAATATTTTTAATAATTTTTTTTATTGTTTTTTTAAGCTTATTTAAAGGTCATAAAAGTCTCTTCCAAATGAAGACGGTTTCTTAATTATTGATACTCGGTTGGTTAGTCCGTCGTCGAAGAGAGGGGTGGCGACTCTAATTACCGAACTTAAGTCTTGCTCAACAAATGAAGCTGTCCGTGACTAATTTGTCTTTATTATTTGTTGAATAGACTTTTGAGGGAATAATACATTTTATATCAACGAATGAAATTATGCATAAAACCAGTTGAAAGAGGTTCTTTACCAAAATACCCAAAGAATTAGGAATATCGATTCGAAAAAAATTAACCCTACAAAAAGTAAAAACGAACGGGTATTTGTTATGACTACTATTTTTCATATTTTTGAATGATTATGCATTTGAACTATGTATTGAAAATTCAATTTGTGTCTAATTTTTATGTTAACTTAAATGGTTAATGATAAATTTTAATTAAATAAAGTCAAAAGTTTCAAATTATTATTATTTTTTGTATATATATATATATATATATATATATAATATGAATTGTAATATTCATAAGAATTATATTGTAACTGTAACGTTACTCAATTGGATGATTGCCATTTAAATGCCGTCCCTACGAAATCAACAGACTTTTATTTCAATATATCAAGTTTCGTTTCATATACCGGAATTTATGTTTTCATTATTTATAATTGATTTTTTTCTTTAAAAATATGTTTGCCAATTATGTTAATTATTAGTGTTATACAACAAGCAACCTTGATTTTATAATAATTTTATTAAAAACTATTATTAAAAATTACTAAACACTGATGTTTAAAATATTTCAGGTTTTGAAATATAAGGTAGGTTATTGTACCTTTTTGGTAGGTATGCTTCACGTTTTTTTAAAATGCATTATAATTTTTATAAATATATTAATACAAAAAAGTATTCATTGAAATCATTGTTGAATTCAGGGACTTTAATTATATAATATTGATGTGATATCTTAAAAATGATCAAAATCGAAAATTAACAGAAGATATGGAACAACTAATTTCAATTTGTAGAACTATACAATATTAATTTTAAAACATAGTAGTCAATATTCTAATTGAAAATAATTTTAACTTGCTAATAATTAATTCCGAACCACCGAATCAGTAGGTGTTCATTAAATAAAACTATATGGAACTAAAGAGCTAGATGAGAACCTTTACAACAACATTTGCCGTATTTTACGGTCTGAGATTTTACGATCCAGAATTCTACAGTTCGGCTTTTAACATTACCATAATTACTCAGTTCCAGTAATATACGCACCGGAGATATTTTTTCCGGGAAATTTACGTTCTGTAAATTTTTTTATGTGAAAATATGGCTTACCGAAAGGGGATAATATCCTTGGGCCTCTTGGAATAATACGATCAAGGTCATTTAATAAAAATAAAGACTTACGTGGATTTATTAGCAACGATGCAAAGCTAAAAAGGCATTATATTTAATATAACGTGTTTATTTTTATTTTTTTGTCTCTCATGACTTTTTTACACGTCTCACCCTGCGCCTATAATTTATATGAAAAAATAATTTATCATTCTGAAATTAATAGTCTCTTTACTTTTAATATTCAAACTATTCGATAGTCTTAAACTATAGACAGAAACGATTGTTTTTCAGTAGTAATTAGTTATCAAAAAATCGACATCGAACTACCGACTGTCGAACTGTTACTATGAATGATATGTTGACTAACCATTCAGCATATTTTACTGGTTAAATTAACTAAATTAAACAATAAATATAATTGAATAAAAATTTGCATAAATTTCAATCTATCAAATAAGATATATGGACATTTTTATTTGATTGAAATCTATCAAACATTTTATCCGGTAGTTCGATAGACAGTCGTGGATAAAAACAATTGTATGATTATTTTTATAGATTTTTGAAAACTATTCAATATACTCTATAGTTAGAACTATTCGATAATACCAATTAGTAATTGGCAATTACTAATAATTATAATCATATTATGTTCTCATAACATTTTGATAAGCCAATATTTTTGAAACACGTTCAGCTCAGGTGACCAGCTGATGAATATCTTTTTATCAAATAAATATTTAAACCAATTGATGATTGCCAAATTAGTCATTATGATAATTTTGAATACTATTGTTTTTAATTTTGTGCTTAAGAAAAAGAAAAACATAAAATCATGGACATAATATTAAATTAAAAATAAAGAATTTATAAAATTTATTCGATTAAATTGGTAATATTTTTATTATGGTGGTTTTTAGAAGTATACTTTATATTTTTGTCTTGTTATTGGTTGCATTTTGTCAATCACAAGATTTTAAGGGATTCGATGATACAATATTATATAAAATAAATTGGCCTGGTAAAGATGCAGCTGATTTAGTTACGGTAAATGCCTAGCAAACTAAAAGTAATAAAGTAACAATTAATTATTTTATCAACTCAAAAATATGATATTTTTGCTTTAGGAAAATGAACAGAATAAATTATATGTTAAATCACCTCTTGGAGAATCATATCAATGTATTCTGCCTCAGCATGATGAAGAAAATAGGGAATCTGGATCTCCTTATGATGGTCCAAGTCCTTTAGAGTTGTTATCTCCTTTATTTTCTAAACAAGCTTGTTCATATAGAGTACAAATATATTTTTAGTTATATAGTATATAATTGAGAAATTTTTATTTTTTTAAAATTATATTTTAGGTGGATACTTACTGGATTTATGAAGTATGTCATGGAAAACATGTAAGGCAATATCATAATGAAAGAGAAGAAAAATCACAAAAAGAGCAAGAGTATTATTTAGGAAAATGGACTGTTTTTGATAGTCTTAAATTAGGTAAAAATTTTCATTTATACATTATGTTATTGTTGGCTTAAGTTCATTTTAGGTTGTTTCTGTAGTGGCATAATTGTAAGGTTTATGTCTGAATACTATAATGTGAATTAGTGTATATGTGGTTAAAATAATATTTATATACTGTTAAATTGATATTATATATATATTCATAGTAAAAATGGAAATATATTTGGTATTGTTGATGCCATTTTCCTATTTTCACTAGTTAGCAATTATAAATTATCTAAATCGCTGGAAATAATTTGACAAATTTAATACTAAATTCAAAATTAATGGTTGAATTGCATTATAAACTTTGTATTAGTAAAATAAGTACTATTTCTGTTCAAGGCTAATATTCCATATATATATAGGATAATTCTTTTTTTGTAATTTATTTAATTAACAGAAAAATAAAGTTTAGTTTAGTGACATCTTTTTTTACAACTTACCAATGATGAAATATTTTTTATCCATCCATTATGTCTTATAAGGCTAGTAAATTAATTATTAAAAATAGGAACATAACTATTTACTCGTGTAATTATTAGAATATGATCTAATTAAAGAAAGTACTGGTCGATAACAACTTTTTAAGTCAGTATTTTAGAATTTATTAACAATTAAAAATAATAGTTAGTACTGCTATATTTATCATTAAACATTACTCAGTCTCATTCCTCTCACTCGGGTATAATAATTCTTATATCCAAAAGTTGTTATTAAGATAAAAAATATTTTATCATTGATAAATTGACAAAATATGTAATTAAAAAAACCCAAAAATTATTAATCATATTTTTATTATTCAGTTATTTAAGTGGTTTACTATAAAAATATCATCTGTATATCCATCACTAAAATTATGGCCAATATATTCCACTAAATGTCTTCTCATTGAAGAAAATTTGTTTAAAATCAATTTTTTCTTTGATAGTCTATCTGACCTGATGAAGTGGTGTATTTATTCTAACTATATTGTGTATTATTTCTGTTATATTATACCAGTTAAGTATTTATTGTACTTGAGCTTTCAATTAAAATTAATAAATATGAAGAGGTTAGGTATGTATGAAAAAGATGTGAGGGTTAAAAGTTCATTGGGAGGTGAAAACTATAAATAGTTTAGAGAGAAGGAGTAGAATATATTTTATTAAAGTTTTTTTTATAGAAGAAGAATTAAAAAGACTAACAACTTTTAACTATCCTGGACCAACTCAAACAAGGAAGATTGAAGGTATTAATTTGCCATATTTTCAAATGAATATGACAGATGGTACAATCTGTGATTTAAATGGACGTCCACGACATACAAATGTTTTATATGTATGTTATCCGCAAAGTAAACATAATGTATTTTCAGTTAAAGAGACATCAACATGCCAATATGAAGTAATTGTTATGACTTCATTATTATGTGCACATCCCTGGTACAAGTTAGTAATTTTTTAATTTTTGTTTTCTTCATTAAAATAATAAAGTAAGAACTGTAGTGTGAAATATTTATACAATTTTTTATTTTTTATTTAATAATGTAAACAGGCCATCAAATAATGATGAATTAAGTATTGATTGTTTGCCAGTGGGGGAATCACCACGTAAACCACATAATTTAAGAGTACTTCAGTCTGATAGATCCAAATTGAAAAAACAATTAAAAGTTTTGACTGTGAGTTCTATTATATATTTAAATAAATTATGTAATTTTTGGAATAATTTTTTTTTTTACACAATGAAATTTTATTTATACATAACAAGATCTGATAATAAATTTTAAATGACAATTGCAAAGACTACAACATGTAATGTGACAAATTCTATGATAAATTAAAATTTGTTATTTAAAAAATAGAATTTCTAGAAGAAAAAAAATTAGTTTAATGTGAGGATTGATATCATTGATTTTTTATTTATTGTAGATTTTTGTAAGGATTGAAAATGTTATTTCACCAATAATGATATTTTTTAAATTGAATATTTTGATAAATAATTAATTTTTTTATTATTGAAATAAAAAAGCTAAAATTTTAATTTAAAAAAAATTATTTTATTAATTCTTTGTAAATTAGGTTTTAGTACAATATTATCATTTTGATCCAGATTCTATAGGTTATTTGATAAATTGATTTATTTTATAGTAATTTCAAAATTCATCAAGAATTAGAATTCATTTTATATTATTTATTTATGAATAAATAAGTATATAATATAATCATTTATTTCATTTTTTTTTTATAAAATAACATTTCAATCCCTGTATAGTTGAATTGTTTGAGCTTTTTATTTTAGTTTAGTTTAATCATTTTTATTCTTTTTATTATATTTATTATTTTTGAAGGATCCACTCAATAAACAAGACAAATACATAGTAGCTGTTTCAATTGAAAAGGTGTATCCATTATTATACTTAAAACTATAATCTTTGTTTATAGAGTGATTGATTATTAGCCATTTAATTTCTTCTAAAGTAATAATACTCTTGGAAATATTTTTTTTTAACCTTGTTTTATTTATTTTTCAATTAATGAGTGATTTAATACTTTTTAGGTAATAAGATTAGATTATTTGTACCTAATATTATTTAATTCTAAAAATATTTAACTTTAAAAGCCACAAAAATTATTAAAAAATAGGATATATGTATTTGTAAACAATGTTATTGTCATAAGCGCTAAACACAAATAATAATTATAATAATAAAAAACATTTAATAATTTAAAAAAAAAAGGTATAAATTTTATCTTTTTTTTTTAGCTATATACTTAGCTAGCTTACAAAATTGAAAATAATTGGTTGATAACAACTTTAAGGTGACTACTTTAGAAGTTATTTAGCTTTTTAATTTTAGATTAGAGTTGTGGTTATGACTATTTTTATTATTAGACAATTGGGCGTACTCTTCTTCCTGCCTAGGTATTAATATGCTATTAGCTTCCGAAGTAGTTGTCCAAAAATTTTCATCGACCAGATATTTTCTTAATTAGATCATTTTCTATTTTATAAGCTAGTTAAATATGTATGTTTAATCATTTAAAAAAATCAAGATAGTTTCCATATCAGAGATTGACCTAAAACACATTAAAATACTTAAAGATCAATAGATAAATAATACTCAACAAAACCAAAAAATATTTTCAAAATTATTATTATCTTAGAAGAAATTTAGTGGTCAATAATAAATCAATCACCATATATATTTTATATTTATATCAAATTGGTGGCTTAAATATAACATAATGCAAAATTTATAAAAAAAATTTTCCTTTTAATCTGGGTATACTTATTGTTTAATTTTTTTTTGCTAATAACAAATCAATGCTTTAATAAATTATAATATTAGCTATTAGGTTTATGTTTTTATCCTATTTAATAAAAAAAGAATGACTTATAATTGTAGAACCCATTAGGGTTGTTTGCATTCATTAACTGAGCCTTTTCATCAGTTTTGATTCATTGCATCATCTATTTTTATATACTCATGAATATTTAAGATATTATTATTTTTCACCCTATCATACATTGCTGATGAGGTCTTTTCCAAGTCAGTCTTTTTTGAACTTTTTTTCTTATATTGTTATACTTACTGTTTAATGTTAAGCATTACATTAAAATCTAATGATTTCAGAATTTTTTATTGGTGGTAATTAACAAATTAATAATTTAAAAGTGTCATAAATTAATTTTATTTAATTTATATATTCCAGAAAGATTAAAAATTTGTAATATTAAGATACAGTGAAACATTTTTTATGATATAGTCCTAATAATAAAACAAAAAATTTTATTACTTAATTGCTACTTATTAAGTACAATAATTTTTCATAAAAAAAAATATAAATCTAGAATTTTAATATAGTGATCCCATATTTTTCATATTTTTCAACTTAAAAAAATTTTTATGTATTATATATTTATTGTAGATGAATTAATTAAAATTAATAATAATAAAATAAATTATTAATATTCACAGCAATTAAATAAAATTTGATACATTTAACTTAAAAAACTATTATTTTATTACATTAAATCTATTATCACATTTTGTAACTCTCTTCCTCCATCAACAGATTTACTTAAAGGAGGTAATTATATTTTCAATATTATGAGTATTATATTGCTACTACATATATGGAATTTTTGAAAATTAAAAAAAAAAAATTAAATATTGAAATTTAATAAAATCATCTTATTTTGTTTATAAATGTGTTGTATAATAGTGTATGTACATTATTGTATAGTTATTGCTTTTATTTCTAAAGCTTTTTTATCTATATCATGTTAATAATTTTTAAACTGTTTAATTATAAAAGGTTTCTGGTTTAATAATTTACATTTTTATTTAGAATGGAGAAGCTCAAATACGAGTAAAACTACAACCTATAAATTCTGAAAATGAAGTTAAAGAAAAAATTAAAGTTAAAAATAATATGATTGAATCACATAAAAGAGTGACCAACGAAATAAATGAATTTTTTAATAGTGAATTATGTTTAGATGGAGTATGTTATCATAATTTTATATTAATTATTATTTAAAATTGTAAATTTTTAATTAGTTAATTTTAAATATGCTTTCATATGAATTACTTAATGTTTCTTCATTTTATATTGTGAATACTAAAAAGTCTACTTGATAAAACTATAAAACTACTTGGGAAAACCTTGTAAGTCATATTCTTACATTGTTTCTATTTGTAAAAATGTGTACACATTATTTTTTGATGTATATTAATAACACGTGATAAAAATGTATTAAGTTTATGTTCCTAAATCTTATTTTTATAGCAATATAGACTAAATGATTTTTTTTGCTTCTGTAAATTGGTCAAATATGACTTGCAATGTTTTGCCACTTAGCAACTAGTATACATGCATACGGGATAATTTATTAAGCATATTACTCTCATTTTTTCGTTAAACAATAATTTTTTATAAAAATGTATAGATTAAAATTTAGTGTATTTTTATAAAACACTGTAAATAACAAATTTATTGTAAAAAAAAGTTATTCCTAGGGTAGATTTTAGGAGTAACTTTCAAAAGTTAAATAGAAACCTATTATTATTTTTAACTAATAAATAAAGAATGATCATAATAAGATTTTGACTAGACGTTTATTAGTATTATAATATTATTTTTAGAGTTTTTATAATTTTGAATTATAAACAAATAGAGTGTGATTCAAAGAAGAATTCTCATCTGACCATTTTGGTAAAAATAGTACATTTCTAAACACTTGTCCATTCCTCACCTTTTTAAAAACGGCAAATGCTAATATCTCAAAAAGTAATATTACAATATGGTTATCAATCTATGAAATTTTATTTAAATCATTCTTTGTGTAATAGTAAAAAAAAAAATAATAGATTCCCATTTAACTTTTAAAAGTTACTCTTTAAATCAACCGTAGGAATAATTTTTTTACAATAAACTATATATATAATGGTTTTTAAAACTAACTTGGATTTTAATCTATAAATTTGTATAAAACATTGTTAAAACAATGGAAAAATTGGGGTAGTATGATCAATAAATCACTCAGTATATAGGTTTCTGTGTGTAAAATATTCCTTTAATTTTCAGGGATCTGGTTGGTGGAAATATGAAATTTGTTATAAAAAACATGTTAGACAAGTACATAAGGAAAAAGGAAAGCCTGATATTGTTGTTAATTTAGGAGAATTTCATATGGAAGAACATATAAAATGGCTTGAGCGAAATCCAGAAAAAAAAGCAAAAAGTGGTAGTCATAAAAATTACATTTCTCATTATTATTCATTTGGTAGTATTTGTGAAGAAACCGGAGAACGAAGAGAAACCGAGGTAAAAACTAATTATCAATATTTAATGGCAAAATCATGTTAGTTTGAAAGAAAATTGAACACAAAATTCTATATTTAATGGTTCTTCTTATTGTTAAATTATATAATAATAACATTATGGTAGAATATATTATAGAATACATGATAATAGAAACATTAGAAGTTTTTAAAATTGTATTATTAACTAAAATTTTTTGGTTGAACTATCAATATTAAAAATCTATTTTAAAAAATGTTCACAGAATATATTAAAACATTCTTTAAAAAAAATTTTTTTTATAAAATCATCATGCTACATTTTATTATTATTATAAATATTTTTAAAAATAAGATAATAATAAGACATAAGATTTTAGTATAAAGGATAATATTTTTATAAAATGATTAAGTATAAAATAAATCTAAAATGTTCTTAATTAATTAACATATATATTTGTTAATATACTATGCAGTTATTACTTTAGCTATTATTAAATGGTATAATTTAAGTATTTTTTCTTTATTTACACTACAATTATTTAAAATAATTATGTTGTAGGTACGATTTAAATGTATAAATAATCGAAAGCCAGATTATCAAGTTGCTTTGTATTTATTGGAACCAAAAACTTGTAAATATATATTAACTGTGGAATCCTCAGCAATCTGTGATTTTTTATTGCATGCAGATGAAAATAACATGTTAATGTCTTTGGAAAAGAAATCAATTAATAATAATGTATTAACTATAGAAAATACTGAAAAACTTGTTAATACAGTTATTGTGAATAATGAAGATACTAAAATAGATGATAAAAAAAAAAAAACGGAATCTAAAGAAAAGCCTAAAATTGAACTCTAATTTGATTTTTTTAATTATTTGTTATTTAAAAAGTTTTCTTTCATAAATGATGATGTTGTGAATAATAGATGTTTTTTTCAATGTGTTAAATCTTGCAATTCTATTTGCACATTTCAAAGAATTTTTAAAAATGTTATACTCAAATATACCGGTGATTATGTAAATTTTAAGGGGTAGAAATTATGTATTTAAAAATTAAAAATAGATAACTAAAAATCACAAAAATATTCTTTACATAAAAACATAAATAATTAAACATAATTGAAAATTATGTTTTTTTTAAGTAGGCAGCACTAATACCTCGAATACCTTAATGTACATTTAAAGAGGGTTCCTGGGTTGATCCCTTCCACTGAAAATTGCACAAATTTTATAAATAGTACAAATGTACTTCCATATTATGACACTGACCAAAATAGTAAGTCAGTCGGAAATATGTTAGGAGATAATATTTAATTTACGCTATTATCAACTCAACTCGTTTAATTGTTTCTTACTCGAAAATGAATTTTTTTTTTTATATTATATTTTTCATAAGCGCAATCTTATGGATTTTTGGAGTTAAATGTCTTCATAGATTCTATCATAGAACCCCTTCACAAGAAAAAATTATGAATATTACATGTATATTTATATAGAATTATATTATTTATAACAGAGATAAATCAGCTTAAAAAAAATATCTTATCTAATTAAGAAAATGACAAAATAACTATTTTTGAACCAGTACTGCGAAAATTATAAATATTTTCAAATGTGGACTGGATGAAATGCACGAGTATGATGTAATAAAAAAATTTTTGGCCGAACTCTTTCTCCCGCCTAGACATAGAAATTTTCATTATATATTATATTTGCAATATTTATCAAAGCATTCTATAAAGAAAATTTATAATAGCATATCAAATTTAGAATTATTATAGACCCATATTAATAAAAATATATGTTGCTATGTTAAATAGTATTGTCTGTTTTTTTTTAATAGTATACGTAAACTATTTGTCGTACACTACAAGACTCATAACATACATATTTATATGTATATAGTAATTTACCATAGATATATTATCGTTGATAAGACAATACCACAAAATACATAAGGTCTTAAAGAAATTTTACTTAAAGCATAAACATATTAACTTATGTTACTAGAGTTTCGTTCTAGATCGCAGGGATCTAGGTGGCCTTTATTGAGTTTAAAGTACAGATATAGATATTAAATTGTTTTGTATTATTTATATCTGTTTATTACCTATATTCACGGCCTTATAACATAAGGTCGGAGAACTTTGTATTATCAGAGTTCTGCTTACTGAGTTGAAAATGTTTCAGATATTGTCCTAAAAAGGGCTGTTTTTAGAGAAATTTGAGATAATACGTATATACATACATACATATATATAAGTATACAAATTATACCTCTATAATCTCAAATTCCCCAAAAACAGCGTTTTTGTGATCAATATCGGAAACGTTTTTGATTCAATAAACGGAAATATCGAAATAGTATGTGGGGTTGGTTTGGGCTCAAACTTTATAGCTATGGTTTGAGACGCCGACCTCATCTTCTAAGGCCATGTCTACTTCTATTGTTTAGAGATATCTAAGTGATAACTAAAACATGATAAACATAACTGATTATAATGCATTGTGGATCGTAAAGTACCTAGGTCAAATATTTTAGAAATCGTTCGATGAAATTAATTTTGCTTTTTTACAAAAAATAATTAAAAAATGAAACCAATTGTTGATTATGAAGTTGCCACCGTCACGGATCCGACACCGTTGAAACTTTTAACGCCTGATGCCGATTATGCAAAATATCACAACACTTGGCTGGAAGATAAATGGTTTCCATTCATGGGTTTCGTAATGGGTGCAGGTAGTAATTTGTACGGAAATATAATGTCTAGGAGACCTTTTTATGCAGGTTTGTAAAATTTATTATGTTGTTTTGTAATTAAAAATAATTCTTTTCGCTTTTTTTTTTATAGGAATCCACAAAACTTTAGGCCTTGGAGCAATAGCAGCTTATGGTTTCTATTACTTCAAACAGTACAGAAATGATTATTTAGCTGATAAAGATGCTATGTATAGACATTATATTCAATTACATCCTGAAGATTTCCCTGCACCTGGTATGATTTTACATATAATGTATTAATTTTTATAAGTTAATAAATTATTTTTATGAACAACAATTTCTACCTATAATTATGTATTGAATTTTCAGGAATTCAGTTATACCTTGCATCTATCACTTTATATATATTTTTTAGCTTCCAATTTATCTAATTAAAAATAGGATTAGCAATGATGAATATGACAAAACTAAGTTCAAAACAGGAAAATTTTTTCATAAACATTTAAATGTTTTTAAATAATATATTATAAATAAATTTTGAGTGTGTTGTTGTTTTCATAGGTAGTTTATGTTATTATTAATATATTATGGATTTCTTAAAAGTGTACTAAGTAATCCACAATGTTTTACAAAGCCCATGACTTTTGTAATGATAACTCTTTAAAACATCATTTACTGTTCTGTAAAATTGTTTTAGCAATTACTATTTCATATTATAAATTAATAAATCATTGTACATATAAAAATATATTTTTATGTTACAGAACGTAAAAAAGTTGGTGAAATGTTCAAAGAATGGGTTCCAGTACGTTAAAGTATCAAGTTTCATGAACTTATATTCAGAATTATAAATCATTGGTTATTTTTATTTAGGCTGAGAATTTTAATTTACTATATAAATATAATTTTGAAGCTAGTATATTATTATGTTTAGTTTTAAAGTATAATACTGAACAATTTTTAATAAACTATGAAATATAAAACTATAGAAACAATAAATTTATATTTTTTAGTTCAATTGATTTATTTTATTTTAATTTTATATATGACTATGAATATGGATATAGATTATTACGAAGTGTTGAATTTGAAAAAACATTGTTCTTATGAGGAAATCAGACGAGCGTTAGTCTTATTGAGATTTCCATAAAGTTTCTTTATAAGTTAAATTTTTAAGTATTATTTATTCTTACAGCTTTGGTAAACAAATTACTATGTATTCATTAATAAATCATAATAATGATTCTCGTTTGATGATGTTATGTGAAGCATATGAAGTTTTATCTAATTCATTTAGTCGCACTCTTTATGATCAATATGGAATAGAAGGATTAAAACGTGGGATTCAATCGAAAAATTATAACATCAATCCATGGAAATTTAATGGGAATGTTTTAACGACATATCTGTAACAATATTAAGAATAAAATAATATTTCTTATGTTTTATTAAAAATATTTTTACAATTTAAAATTGAAAGAAAATCTGAAACTACCCAATTGATGACATTTGGTTTTTTTAAATTTATTTAGCCAGTGTTCCTTCATATTTTTTGTTTTTTAGTTGTCTAAGGAAAAAAAAAAAGATTTTTCCTAACTAATCCTATTATAATACTTTTAAATTCATAATATTGTATCTTTTCCTGTCTCCTGTTAGTCATACTTAAAAATTGTGATTTTATTAAATTATTATTTCAGTAACTATCGAGCAAATAAGAACTATATTACTTTTCGGCAGACCTACCCTAACAAGTGTTTGATACAATTTAATAACAGTTTATCAAATTACCATAAAAATACTGAAAAATTACTTTTGAAATTAACTTTAAATGAAGTATGTAAAGTTAAAATATTAAACTAGTTTTTATAATTTAATATTAAAAAAAAGACTATTATCTTATTAAATGACTGGTGAATTACTGTGCACTTAACATTTTTATATTACGTATTACACATATTATAGGTGTTAAGTGTGACACAGTGGACACTTAAGATGCTGCCAAGATCTGAAGTTGAGCTTTGTTGTTGAGTGGGTTACCCACTTAATTTTTAACGACGGCAAACACATGTCCTATAAGAGCTGATAAAAAAAAAATTATAATATTTTAGTTTAAATTGAATATAAGATAATATCATTTATCTTTTGTTATATTTGAAAATTATTTAATTAAAATCAATTTATTTATAGATATATAATGGAATAACTAAAACAATATTGATTAAACGACCACATACGATAGTTGATGATATTTGTGTAGACGAAACAAAACATTTAAAAATAGAAATACCTAGAGGCATTTCAACTGAAGAAGAAATAATTAAAGATGTTATACACAATGATACTGAATTACATTTTATCAAAAGTAAAAAAATATATATAAATATTTTTATTTTCTTCAATTTGATATTTATCTGTATGAAATAGCAACCTATATAGCTAAAATTGAACAATTACCACATAAAATATTCAAAAGAGAATATAATAACTTAATTACAATAAAAAAAGTGTCATTTAAAGAATCTTTGTGCGGTATTAAATTTAATGTAAAAACATTAAGTCATAAACTTATTAGAGTTAATATAACAAAAGTTATTGCGTAAGTATTACTTATTTCATAATTTCGAAGTAAATTTTTTAAAATTTTATTTTATTATAATACGGGGCGATTCTGTTACAAAAGATTTTCTTTTATTTTAATGTTTTTCAGATTATTAATCACTCCCCCTCCTGCCTAGATTTAAAAGTGTTAATAACAACCGAAATACTTGTCCTAAGTTTGTTATTGACCAGTCAATATCTACGTTTACATTATTCTTCAACACTAAAACTTACATCTAGGTAGGAGAAGAATTACTGCCTAAAAATATCTAATGATTTAAATAACAATACTCGTGCTTCACTTTCAATTAATACTTTAAATTGTTAATTACTTCTGAAATATTTATAACTAGACTATTTTATATTTTATATAGCTTCGCAACGAAGCTAAAATATCAGTGTTATTATTTGCTTTGATTAATTAAGCGGTTCAGAAAATACTATTGATAATTTTATAATTATACAATTTTTAATAGACCAGATTATAAAAAAACAATTTATGGAGAAGGCATGCCTTATAGAAATAATTTGAATAAGTACGGGAACCTAATTATAAAGTTTGATGTAACTTATCCAATATTTTCATCTATTACAGAAAAAAATATCTGTGAAATATTAGATTCATAATAATCATTTTGTATTAAACAAAAAATATTAAAATTCAATGTTGAATAAAATATTACTAAGGTAAAACCTGTTTTGCATTATTTCTTTTAAATAAAAATAAATAAATTAAGAGTGTAAATTTTAAATGTCTAAATTGTTTTATTAAATTAAAATAAAGTTTACATAGTGTAATATAAAGAATACAGTTCAAATTTTTTTTTCTATGATATTGGATCACCATTATCATCAAATTTAATTTTTTTGTTTTGAGAAACAATTTCTTGTGATCTTCTTTTTTTCTCTTCAGAAGTCCAGAGGGCATGACCAACAAATCTATCAGCAACATTTTTATTTACTCTTGGCATATTTTTCTTATTTATAGCTACTTTTGCTGTTTCTATAGAAGCTTTTACTCGATCTAGCTCACGTTTAATGTTATGAGTAGTTGGATCAGTACCATCTAATCTTAAGTACATCCAATACAAGCTATTAAGAGCAAATGCAATTAATATATCATGTTTAATTTTTTCTTCTACAGTAAGCGAACTGTAATCTATACTTAATCGTGATTCTAATAAGGTTTGAATGTTAGTAATTGAATGATCTAAGTTTTGTATAGATCCTATCAAATTTTGGTCATTCAGTAAATCTTCATCTAGATCTAAAGTAGTCATCTTGTTTTTTTCTTCTAAAATAATAAGATTTATGTTTAAATTATTTTTAAGTGAAATTTGTTTAAAAAATATTTATGATATATTAATAACTAGAATCATCTATAGTATGTTTTATATTGAATAAGCAGATAATCAAACTTAATGCTTAAGAATTAAAAGAACGTTGAAGGATGGTAAAATTCTATAATGTTTACATTATTCATCATCACTATAAAAATTAGTACAGTACTAATTTACAGTATATCATATTTTGATAAAAATTCCAAATGTGTTTAGACTTAAAATTTTAATAATAAAATTAAAAGATTGCAATATTTCTTATAGTAAATTTCTAAAAGTAAACAAATTATATGATAATTGACACATAGTCAATTTATGAAAAATAAATTAAATTGAAAGATTAATAAGAAAAAGTAATATTCATAATTTATTAATAAATATTATAAATATATTGGGTTATATTTGAATTTAGCCAACCCCAAGTAGTTGGGATTAAGGCGAGGAAAAAGAAGAAGAAAGACTGGCTTAAATTTAAATGTAATTACCATTTTAAAAAATCTATAATGTATTAATTTTAATAGTAAACGTCTTAATTCAAATTAATAACAATCTAGCATTTTATACATAATATTTAAAATATACCTTAGTGCCTTAGGATTTATTTTCCAAATTGTTACTTAGATCACAACTAATAATAAGAAATCGTTATGAAAACAAAGTATGACATATTCAAGTTTATAGCATAGTATTTTTGCACATTATTACTTGATTTTAGAAATTCCTTTTCCTAGATTTGACTAAACATTTACAGATAAGCAAGTGTTTACAACCACAGATAATCACATTTTCTATCATTATTTACTCTGAAAAAGATAAATATGATAACAATACAGTGCAGGTTTTATTTATATTTCTACACGCAATGGCGGATAGACTGCATAGAATTAGTCACCCCAGATAACACAATTACTTAATTGTTAATTATAATAATAATAAAATAATAACAATAATAATAAAATCAAAACTAATTACTGAAATAGAACGACGATTACTAATGTGTATTAATGGCCTCGTTTCATAGGCTTATTCAATGTAGATCCCAATTTTGTTTTAATTACCAATGTCGCTGATCAAAAAGTGAGTGGTAGGTATTTATACTATAATTAAAGAAGCGTGCCTTTTTGTATATTAAATAAAAACAGCTTAGAATATTAATAACTTATTACTATCAATATTTAAAATAATAATTTAATTAAAAGTATTTATTCATTTTTATTTTTTTAGGGATTGATATATGTAGTTGTTAGTTTTTGAAAATTTTATAAGCAAAACAAAAACAATGACGGCTGATCATTTTTGTCTTAAATGGAATAATTATCCATTAAATATGGTTACAGAACTAGACAGTCTTCGTACTAGTGAAGATTTAGTTGATGTTACATTATCATGTGATGGACAATTATTTAAAGCTCATAAAGTAGTGTTATCCATGTGTAGCACTTACTTTCGTAATGTTTTCAAGGTAACTCAATAAGATAGTCTAAGTATTATTATAAAAATGTGTACAAAAAACTAAGTGTTTCACTTTTTGAAAAATAGTTCTATTATATTTTATTTTGAAAACAATTTTTATTTTAAAAATATAATCATTCAAATTATATAATTTGGAATAATTTTTCAAAAAGTATTAATATATTATAATATTATTGAAATACAATAATAAATGATAATAATAATAATAGCCAACTATAGAAAATCATTTAATACATTAAAATATGGATTTATAAGTTTATATTTTATATTTAGTATTAAGTATTAATGTTTTTTTCATGTATAATTATAGGATAACCCATGTAAACATCCAGTTGTTATATTAAAAGATGTTAATCAAGATGATGTGAAAGCATTACTTAATTTTGTATACCAAGGCACAGTGTATATTTCAGAAAAAAAATTGACATCTTTTTTACGTACTGCAGAACTTCTACAAATTAGGGGTCTTGCAGGAGCTGCTTCAACTATCAATACAGATTTAGTTAGTATTTATAATATCAAATCTAATTTCTATGTCTTAATATTGAATTAAAATTAAATGTTATTTTTTATTATTATAGGAATCAACAAGAACCAGCTTAGAAAAAAATACTGTTCCTCCTTTACAGCAAATTTCAACTAATAATAATAAAATTGATAAACAAGAAACATGTACTTCAACTGCTACTGTCAAAACTGAATCACCTAAATCTCCAAATGGAAAAGTGTCTGCAAAACGAAAAAAGGGTTTACCTATTAAATTTAAAAAAAGTTCTGAAGATGGTCTAGAATATATGGTTGGTATAATATTTATTTGTTTTTTCTTTATATTATAATTTTGTTTGTAGGATGAGACTACTAATGGTAGTGAAACAGATATTTTAAGTCGTCTTAAAGTTGATGAAATAGATGATAGTGGCAATGGAGATGGTGATTGCTATATTGATGAAGATATATCTAAAGATGGTTTTAGTGATGATCGTTATGTTCAAGGAGCAGATATTGGAGATGAGTTTGATGATGTTGAATTAGAAAAAGAAGATGAAAATTCTCATTCAAACACAGCTTTTGAAAAATCTCTTATTGCATCACGAATGTTAAATGATCCTAAAGGTAATTAAGTAATTAAATGGCAAAACTGCTTAAAATGTGATTTTCATTTTAAATTATTACAGATATTCGTTTGAGTGGATCGGGAGGAATAGATTTTGCTATTGCTCCTGCTCAAACAAATCAATCAGTTTCAGATCAGTCATTATCAACTGCAGGTAATGTAAATATTGAAAAATATTACTTAAATTAAGATAAAAGCTATAGTTAAGTTAAGTAAAACAAAAGGTATTGAATTTGTGACTTCTATTCTATAACGGCTTTAAGGCCATGTAGGCGCTACAAATTTTTGCAGGATCCCACCTGGCCCAGTGTGGGGATTGCCCCCATTGTGGACAGATGTACAACAACCAGTCGTCGCTTAAATATCATGTGCGCTTAATGCATTCAGACTTGACGCGCCGGCTGTGTTGTTATCTATGCCCCAGTTCATTTGTGTATCGCGAAGCGTACAAAACGCACATGCGACAAGATCATAATGTCAGATTGTAATGAGTGTTATCCAGTTGAAACTAAATTTGTGTAAGTTAATTAATAAAAGGTTATTGGTCAATCAGAGCATGGAGTATTGTTTGTTATGGACATAGTCTCAATTACTAAAACAATTTGAACAATATTGTACAAATATTCAATAATTAACAATAATATAATTTTAACATAGTGAAATGGTTAATTGTTTAATACTATTTTAGTATAAAATTTTTATTAACTTAAGCTTGTTGTTAATTCTCTAACATATTTTTTAAAGTGCTCTATCTGGTAAAGCAGTTTCAGGTTATAGCTAAAAAGTAAAAAAAAATTACTTTGCTTATTTGATTACATTTTAAAAATGTAATCAAATTATTTATTTTTTTTTAAATAAAATTGAGGACTTCTAATAATTATATATTTTATAATTTGAAAGTTATTAAACATCAAATATCTGAGTTATTTTTTATTAATATTATTGAAAATTATATTAAATATTTTAACAGTTGTTGTATTTTCATATTGTAAATTTTAATATTGGGTGTCTTCATTACTGTAACTTTGTGCCCTTTTTATAAGGCAATATTTGAAATAAGTAAATATTAATATTAGTTTTTTTTCCATCAATACTTTTTTGGCTTCTATGAAACTACAATTGAGCATTTTATCAAGGCTGCACAAGACTTGTATTTGTCATTACCCATTAAAATGATTCTAAAAGTAAAATTATGAAAAATTCAAGTTTGGATGGATCAAAAATTTTATGTTACCTACCACCTTACCCAGTCCCTATTTTTTATATCTCACATTTTTATAAATTATTCATAAATCATTTATGAAATTCGTATTTTCATATAAATTATTAAATTGAAATATAAATAAGCTTATTTCATATTTTTGAAATTTTTATAGTTACCTAATAAAATTTTTTTTATAATATTATACTCCAATTTTTAATTTAGGTAATACAAAATTTATTAGATTTTTTAAAATGGAAACAAGAATAAAAAAATATTTAAATAAAAATACAAAATAATATAAAATAAATATTATATATTTTATTTGAACTCGATGTTTACTTTATTATGTTTATCTATAAAAATGATCTAATTGAATTCAGCTTAGTTTTAAAAAAATATTTTTAATATAAATCTGGAATAAGTTTCGAATTATATCAACTTAAATTTATATATGTATATATAACTAGTAAATATTAATTACACTCTACAATATTATGCATGATTAATGTCCGGAAAAATGCATGGGAAATGGAAAATTATCACTATAATATTTAAATTATTAAGATCAATAAACATTTCATTTTTATATTGTAACATAATTTTCAATTTTGAGGAAGCTTTAATTTTTTATATTAAATTTATTATAATTTTTATAAATTTATTAAATACATAAATTAACTTAAGTATATTTTTAAAACTTAATATTTATTTTATATTTATATTGGTCGATACTGAGAATACTCTGATTATAAACAAATAAATTTTTATAGATTGTTGAATAATATTTAGTATTGAAAATATATTTTTAATTTTAATAAAACTTTATTTTTATCTTATTTTTCATTTAGTTGTAAGTGAACACTATTCTAATTCTCCTATCCTACTACACCAAATAAACATTGTTAATTTTATTTAAAAATCTGAGAAGAATGTATCATTATATTAGGTTTCTATTTTTAAAATAAAATTCCTATAATTGACAAATATTTAGTTATATTTGAAATTATTGTATAAAAATATGTTTTGACTATATGTAATTTATTATTTTACAGACCGTCTTGGCCGCCGACCTTGTCCTTTATGCCAAAAAGTGATCTCTAATAAATCTAACTTATTGAAACATATGCGAATCAGACATAGTGATGAATATAACCCAGCTGGATGTAGTGTTTGTGGAAAAGTATTTAAAAATAAATATAGTTTACGTGCTCATATCAATATCTATCATAAAGATCATTCAAATAACACTAATTTAGGAGGTGGTGGTAACCAAAATGCCACTGCTTATCAGGTATATAGTAATAATACTGTTGTTACTCATCAACAGCAACAACACCAAAATCAAATGATTCCACAACAGCAACAAATTACCAACAATAGTGGTACTTATTTAACTGGTTCGTCAGCTGTTACATGTTTTAACCAGTCACAAGTTACTGCAAACAGTACTAGTGGTGGTTATATTATACAACAGCAACCAACATCTTCCCCGTTCCTAAATAAAATATCATTGGATCTCCCATCACCATATCAATTAACAAATCAAGCTACAGCTGGCCCTCCTTTGTCACCACTTTAACATTCAACTTATCCAACCATCTCATTAGATGATGAATATTGTGTCAATTTATTTGTCTTAAAGAGCCTGAATAATTCTTTACTGTATTAATTTTCAATGATAAAATAATTTTTGAGAGACAAATTAACCTACTTTGATAACTAATCATTCTTCCTTTTTTATTATTATTATATTATTTTTTATTAATTTTTGTGTTTTCTTCTTTAGTTTCTTTAATATTATAATTACTTACTAATGACATAAAAATCTAAATTTTATTAATTTATTTTACAAAAGTTCCACTCTAAAAATATTTTAGATTGTCTAAAATATTTTAACAATGTGTGCCAATAACAAACTAGTTGTAAAAATGAAATCAAATTTGTATTTTAATTGTAAAATTAATATAATGCTTGCAAAAGGCAGTAACCATTTAGTATCCAATCAAGACCAAATGACTCAAAGACTGAAAAAAGAATAAAAATAAAAACAAGATAAAATTGATTAATTTTATTTTTGGAAAATAACTATGTATTTTATAAATTAATATTTTTCAAAATGTATAAATATATTTTAATATATTGTCATATCAATTAAGTTATCTATCAGTAATTAAAATAATATTTTTTACTATTTACAACCGTTGATAGACTTTCGTTGGGTAGATATATCTTGTTTATTTGTTATATTATTACCAAAGAAAATTTTACTTACATTTTAATAAATTAGTTTCTTATTGAAACTAACAATTTGAATTTAAAAAATATTTAATATTATTAAAATAATTTAGTATTTTTAAATTCATATAAATTTTATTCTTGTTTTTGTTTTCCCCTAACTCATTTTGGAAGAAGAATATAAAAGCATTTGATAGATCATCTTTTTAATTTACCTACAATCATAATACAGTTTTTTTTCAGTTACCTGATAAAATTATTGTCGCGGTTAATCTTTTTATATTATCAATTAGGGTTTAATTATTTGTAGAATTTATATCCATAATTGATGTAATATTATATTTTTTTTAATTATTTTTTTATGTAATAAAAACAAACCTAGTATTTTTTTTTATCTATTGGGTTCCAACGTGTGTATGACTGATGTAGCTTAGAAATTATATTTTAAAAAAAATGTATTTAAAATTAAGTATATTTTATTTTTTAAACAAGTTGAGTCAACCTATGTTTTAGTTTATACATCATATTTATATTTCTGTTTAAGGCAAGACTAAGTATGTAAGAAAAAAAACAAATATATTTTATTCTAATTAAAATTTTATTAAATGTGTTGAATTAATTTAATATTAAATAACTGTAATTATTTTTAATAATTTAATTATTAAAACTGCATAACAATTTAGATAAATAAAACAAAATATTTATAATTCTTTGAGGAACATTACAAAAACACTAAAAATTATACAGAAAAATATATGAAGTAAAATAATTTTGATAATCTCTTAAGAATATTTCTTTTACAAAGGTCTAGGTCCTTTTCTTAAAATTATACTAAAAATATTTTATAACTTTCGTGTTTAAGAATACAAACGCATGCATTTAATTGACTAGATATACATAAAATACTGATTTGATTTTACATATTGTTAGTATTCGTACTTGAATATTATAGCCTATATACTAATAAAATAGTATAAAACTCGCATAATATAGGAAATCAATATCAAAACTCTGTTTTATACTTAAACTATTAATAAATTATTATTTAACCGCTCTTATTTCACGAACAGTTAACTAAATATACAAGTTGAGACGCATAAAATATAAGCGGTTTACAGGACATAAAAATAAATAAGTTTTATATTCGGATTAAAAATAAGTAGTTCTATTCAATAAGGAAAAATACTTAAAAAAATGAAAATTCGGTTTTTCCTTTAAATGGAGTTTACAGAAAAAAAAAATTTAAAACTCGATATTCTCAAAATTCAAAATTTTACTTAAACATTCTAAGTGTTTTAATTTTTATTATGGTAAAACCAATGAGCAATATTCGTGTATTTTTAATCATCTAGGTAAAAAATAACCATCATTATTTATAATTAAATCAAATTTTTGAGATGGTCTATTAGATTTATATTTATTGTCCATAGAAAAATTAAAAAATGAATTCGGATTTAGTTCACCATTAGAATATTTAAAACTAGGTCTCTCAAAATTATTGAAATATACTTGTGTTGTACTGGAATAACTATTATCATTTACACTGCAATTAGAGTCAGATACAGAGTAATTTATTATGCCATTTTGTAGAATATTATTATTGTAATTATTAAGAACAGGTTCTCCATCACCAGCTGAAGTATCGTTTTGTTGTGCTGTGTTAGGGTTCTCATTTTGATTGTTAGGAACATTTCCTGGTGCGAAATTTGAAAATGCATTTGGACCAGGTAGTCCGTAATAATTGTCATTACCAGATGAAGTATCGTTTTGTTGTGCTGTGTTAGGGTTCTCATTTTGATTGTTAGGAACATTTCCTGGTGCGAAATTTGAAAATGCATTTGGACCAGGTAGTCCATAATAATTGTCATTACCAGCTGAGGTATCGTTTTGTTGTGCTGTGTTAGGGTTCTCATTTTGATTGTTAGGAACATTTCCTGGTGCGAAATTTGAAAATGCATTTGGACCAGGTAGTCCGTAATAATTGTCATTACCAGATGAAGTATCGTTTTGTTGTGCTGTGTTAGGGTTCTCATTTTGATTGTTAGGAACATTTCCTGGGGCGAAATTTGAAAATGCATTTGGACCAGGTAGTCCATAATAATTGCAATTTGGGTTTGATGATCCATAGTTTTCTTCGACAGAATGTGGGTTTTTTGTAATACTGCTATCTGTTGTTTTCAATTTTTGTTCTGAATTTGGTTTATTACTCTGATAAAAATTACTGTTACTATAGCCATAGTAGTTTATATTACTATAAATATTTTCATTTTTTAATGGATAATTGTAACTGTTAATATTTACGTTTGATGGTTCATTAATGTTGAAAACTTGTTGGGGTAATTTAGAGGCTTGATATTGATTTTTTGGTACAAGATTAGAATGTATTTTTTTGTTTTGCGCATTATTAATGGATGGTTTAAATGCCATGATAATATCATCTTTGTTATCTGTATTTACATATTTGAAATGGGAAAGAAGATTATTATAGTAACTTAAAGTTTTTAGAGAGTTAAGTTGGTCATATACTTCACGAGCATTTTTTTCACTTTCAGGTATTTGTGAAATTTTTTCATATTTTGTATCAAAGTGATTAAAGGGCGAAAATTCCATCGGCTGGATTACACCTACATTTCTTTTATTACTCAAATCATTAATAGTTTTTGTTTCCAAGTACAAATTACGCTGTGATAATTTTTTTTCATTTGAATTATCTCTCTGGAAACCTTGATTTTGTGCAATGTGAAACAATATTTGCCTGTCATTATCTGTGGGCAGTGGAAAATTAATTTTTTCAGGGGACCTATTTGAAGCCGCATAATAGTTATTGTTTCCTGTTGAATTGAAATTTCCAGTAATTGTGTTTGTATAATTATTGCCTTTTAACAACTTCAAATTATACTCATTTCTAGAAGTAGACAATACTTTTTTCGTTCTATCATAATCTGAGGTTCGATAATTATTTTCTACTGTTACAATGCTTGGTATAAACTCGTACTGTAGTGAATCTGAAACCATTAATTTTTATTTTAAAATATTAAATATACAAGCCTCTGTAAACTTCTCTTCACATTTTTAATAGAATTTATCATATATTATTAAATATATTATTATATTAATACTTTTATATGCATTCCTTTCATGTTTTTAATACATCACTATTCTTTTATCTTATTACAGTATTAAATTTATTAGTTTTTATATATTATTGTAATCTACCAAATATTAAATTTCGATTAGTATAGCAGAAACTATAAAAATATTAAAAATATATTAAAAGAATAATAGAATACAGGGCGTCCTACTATGTTCTGATATCTAATAACTTTTCATCTAGAAAATATTTTACGTTACTTTTTTGAAAATAATTTTTATAGTTTTGGACTACGTTACAGGCATAATTTTTTTTATTCATCTCTAATAGAAAAAAAAATATATTAATTTTTTTTTTATTTTAAAGTAGTAATTTTTTAGCTAATTCTTACTAAAAATTTTGATAGGTGAATAACAACTTTAGGATAAGTACATATTGAGTTACAAGCAATTTAATGAAATGCGGTAGCAAAGTGGAATCACTATCGTAAGAAACACTTCGAAGAAAATCTGTAGATAGCGTTTATTTTAAAAAGTTGGTGGATTATACCAAAAGCAAAATGAATTCTTATTTTCTTTATTATTCCTGATTAGTAGTTTTTTAATATAGAAATACAATATATGAATAAATATTTATTTTAACATTTAAATATAGTACGAGATTGATATTTAATCATTTAGTATTATATAGTATAAAAAATTATAAAGTAGTAGTCACTTTTATGGCAAACGTGTATAAAAATTGAAGGGTTTGACACAATTTTTTTTAAATATTAATACAATGTTAATTATGAATAAATGGTCGGCAAGAAATTTTCATCAGAGTCAAAAACATTTTTTATAATAGTTATTATTCAATTTTCGTGCTAATTTCAAATCAGCAATTATATTTTTTACGTGTAAATCCCTCATAAAGTTTGAATATATACTGACCTATGGGAATAATTTGTCTTACTTTCCTAAGATCACTTTGAGATTTGCTATTATTTGTTTTTAAATTTACATCGCACTCAGAAAATGAAGCTTCATAACCAATAACTATCTGTAAAAAGTATGGAAATAAGCCACAGGAAGTTAATTTTGATAAAAAAATGAACTTGTATTAGTATTTTATTAAATTATATCACAGATATATGTAAAAAAAAAATTTTAATAATTTGTTATATGAAATATTTAGGAAGATATTAGGTATATTTTTGTATAAAAATAATTTTAATGAATACTTTATAAAAAAAAAAATGAATTAAATCAACAAATTTTTAATATACACTATCTATGCCATAATTAGGTCTCTTTTTAATTGAACTTTAGTAGTTATAATAGAATATGCACTTACTATTAATATGCTTATAGTGCTAACCAAATCCATCGTATTTAAATAATATTTAAGCATTCACATAAACCATAGAACGTTATACTTGTACGCCATCTGACGATTATGTGTAAGTTTTTACACGCCACCCTCAGGTATATATTTATCTATAAGAACTGTGTTGCGTTTTGTAGATATTCCCTTTCCGTTTTGCAAAGAAATAATAGCGGTAACATTAACCAGCGAGCCGCTCACGATTACCAGTTGAAATTCGCCCTTGAACCGCATTTATATTGTTTTCGGTCGTTTGTACGTTCATAAAGAATTTTGTGCGACAGTGTCGTCAGTACGTTTGTTGTTAACAGAAATAATTTTTACACCTTTGTAATCTTCACGATCTGATAGACAATTACTCACACTTGAAATTAATATACCCGAGAATCTCAACATAAAAAACCCAGCACAGGGGGGTCGCGGCACAGTGGTGACGTGGCATAGTTGGATCAAGTAAATGATATCTGACAGTGATTAAAATCACTATCAAAAATAAACGCTTCGATGCAAATCTTTAGATAGTGTTTAATTTAAAAAAAATTGGTGTTTTATTCCAAAAGCTACTTGATCTGCTGGTTCCTTATTAATATC